TTGTAAACAAAAGGTAAGACTTAGGCCAGCCAGTGGCATGGTGGTGAGGGTGACTGGATTCCACATGGCCAACCGTACAGTTCCAATACCGGACCTGACTGCTTAAGAAACATGATGGGCATGCGTGCATGCCCAAATTCCTGAAAAAGGGAGGGAGGGGGAAGAGATTGTGTTGTGAACATTTCCAATGAGGGTGCTTTCTCAGTTTCCTTTCCTCTATATTTTCTCTCTCCCACTCTGTCTCTCTCTAGCAAGCATACATGCCCTCTGGCAAACTAAAACAAAAACAGAAGATTTATTTGAAGGATAAAATAATGAGAACAAGACAGTTCTCAATGAAATAAAACGGAAGTCCATGTTCTTTATAACACTTTTCAGGAAGACACAACCACCTTATCCTGTTGAAAGGCTTGCACGGAAGGCATCACTTTTGGACCTTCTGTTTCCTGTGGTCTTGTGGATCTTGCTAACCTTACCAATGATCATGTGTACAGGACAATGGAAAAATTATTCAGTGGTGCAATAAAGAATCAAGCTATCAATAACCACATTAGTATAGTTTTTCATCCTTATAATTTTACTGATAACATTTTTCTTGCTTTTTGTTTTTTTAGGATTTGCCATAGGGTGCATGCATTTGCTAAAATCACACACAGAGATACAGAGAGAGTAAAAGTTAAAAATCACCCCCTGTGGGCGGATGGCCATGTCATAATCCCTTCTTCTCTACTGTCTTCCTGGGATTTTGGGCATGCACACACACGTGCCCAGTGTGATTTTGAAGATACCAGGTCCAGAACTCAAACTACAGTCAGCTATGTGGGAGACCAGCACCTTAACCGCCATATCACCTGCTGACCACCTGATGAAATATTTGACAATGCATTTGTGAAGTAATGGGTTTTCAGAGTAGTGATCAATACAGGAAAGCCAAAGATCCAGAGGAGGAAACCAGAAGTTTATGTCCAGAGGTGGTATATTCTCTGCTTCAAACAGAAATGAAAAATATTGGAGAAATGAAAATATTAAAGACGTTGATATGTCTTTAACCAGACTGCCATAATCAACTTACCTCAGTTTCCGTTAAGAAACTACAAATACTCTTTAAGAATGGAGGGTTTCAAAATACTCAGAATCATTAATGAGACAAATGCCACTGGTGTCATGGAAAACATATTGACTTTTGACTATTTTTAGTAAGTATATCTTTGTTGATGCAGATCAAATCTTTAAAGACACCCCACAGCTAGAAATATCTGTTAGTTACTTGGATTGGAAAAACACTGACAAAAAAAATGGTTAACCCTTTCATTGCGGAATTTAAGTGTGAGAAGGACTTCAGTGAAAGCCAAAAAAGGCGCCCACTGCCTCTGCCCCATATGTGAATGTATGAAGGCCAACTACTTCTAAAATGCATTCTCTTAAGGATTGCATTCTATCTCTCTATCACCGTACTGACTAGAAAATAAAATGCTGCTACCATAGGCTCTGTAGAGATGGTGCTTTGATCCATAACATTGCCTGGGAAACTCCTAGAGAATTTATTCAGTGAAAAATTATTAAACAATAGGACTGATCTTAATGAGATGATTGCTTATGGTACAAGTGTCTAGGAGGCTATCTTATCTGAGAACACATATGAAAAAAATTAGAGTTTTCCATTCTTTGATGCCATACTTTCCCCTTGATATTGAACTCATATCAGACAGCAACAAATGGCTAGCTCTGATTTAAAGAAATGAGAAAACAAAGACCAAGAATGACTATGTGCTTGGCAAGTTTGAGTTCACAGGTATCCCTCTGTAAGTGTGACAATGCTCAGAAGGGAGCTCAATTAAATGGCTACTAGAGTCTCAGTAGGTTTGCTGTTGGCACCATTATAGGGGAAGAGATCAAAATTTGGGATGTGTTTTCCAGAAAGTTCAAAATATTAAACTGTGAGTGATGAACAGCAGAACAAAATTTTCTCTAAAACTTCACTCAAATTCTGTAACAACAAAATAAAGTCTTCTGGGACCAGCAGATAGCATAAATGCCACATAGTCGACTACAGTTCGAGTCCTGGACCCAGTAGCTTGAAACTCATGCCAGGCTTGTGTGCGTGTGTGCCCAGGATCCGAAGAGGAGAATGGAGGAGAAAAGACTGTGGCATGATCATTCCCCCCAAGGGGGTGGGGGGTGGTTTCTCGCTTTCTGCCTCTCTTCCTCTCCAGCGAGTGCACATGCCCTATAGTAAAAATATCCATATATATATAAATAAGTAAATAAATTACAGTCTTCATGAGAAGCTAAACTTCACAAAAAGATCAACAGAGTAAATTAATTCAATGAAATTATCAATGGGCTAGGAAAAAGAGTCAGACTGCTAAGGAAGTAGAAACGGTTAAATATCTGCATAAAAATGCAGCTCATCATCATGCAGTCATGCCAGAGAGCCAGAGGGAGGCCAAAAGGCTTCCAGAAATAAAGATCCTCCCTTAGGAAGGCCTCTTCTGGACTCATCATCGAGGAAGCCAGAGGTAACTAACACAGCTAGACTAAGAAGCTGAAACCTAAAATCTGTAGCAATGTAAAAGTCATGCTTTGAGCTGTTACATAGTAATATTTTTGACGATTATGAACAATTAGGAACAGTAAAAGAAGTTAATATCTACTTCTTCACTTTATCAAAACCATATAATTTGTGTGATGTAGAATAAAACATCTGTTTAAATGGGGACCAATAAAAACTCAAAGTTATCATCTTGAGAAGTGGGACAAGGTCAAAGAACCTGCACTCAGAAATGATAGTTTCCAGGTCTATCGATTAAACTAAATTTATACTGAAGGTAACTTAAAAATAGGAAGCAAGATTTTGAGAATAAAATTATCATCTGCTCTTGGGGCCAGCAGTTAGCGTAATGGCTATGTCGCTGGACTCCTATATAGTCAACCGCGGTTCGCGTCCCGGACCCGGTGGCTTAAAACTCATGCCAGGCGCATGTGCATGTATGCCCAAGGTCCCGAGAGGAAAATGGAGGAGAAGGGATTGTGGCGTGGCCATCCCCCCTGGGTGGTGATTTCTCCCTTTCTATCTCTCTGTCTCTCTCTGTCTGTCTGGCGAGCGCACGTGCCCTATAGCAAAAACCTCTTCAAAAAAAAAAAAACGGTCTTGATGCCACCATCCACCCCCAGACTCAGCCAGGTCATGGTTATGCATGTGCATGGTGACTCAGGATGGTCTCCGGATGTGAACCCTGAGACTTCCTACATGGGTCAGCTTCGTGGAGCATTTCACCAGTGTGCCACCCTCTGGCCCCTAGGGTCTTACTGTCTAGAATGATATTCCAACATCATTTATCTCAAACTGATGAATGATGATTCTGAGGGAAAACATATCTTGTCTCCCTCCATAAGTTCAAAATCTGGCATTTGTGTCTGAAATCCAGGGACTGACTTAGTTACATAAGCAAATCATTATTATAAATTGCCCACCTACTATGTCCTACTGCGCTAGATGCTGGGCTAATATTAATATGTCAGGCATGATCTCTAGTCTCAATGATCTCACAATTTCATGGAAAAATACACAGCAGACTACAATATTATATAGACTATAATGATTTTTATAAAAGACCTAATTTAAAAAGTTTTATTCATCCTAAACGTGCTCTGTTGAATTAATATTGTCTCCATAATACTCTTTCAAAAATAAAAGTATTTTATTAGTCCCCATAAATACAATAGCAAAATAGCCTTTAGCTTTAGCACAAAACCAAGGTCCTCTGTGATGGAGACTAAGACGTCAGGGGTGTGGACTGGCCTTACAGAGCGGCAGGTGAGCATCATGCACAGAGAGCTAGACTCCACGTGGCCAACCATGGTGTGAATCCCAGCCCCAGTGACTTGAAAAACATGCCAGGTAGCTGTGCATGTGTGCCCCAAATCCCAACATGAGGGAAAAGGACTGCAGCATAAACACACTCCATTGGGAGGTTCTTTCTCTCTCTCTCTCTCTCTCTCTCTCTCTCTCTCTCCTCTTTCTACTGTAAACATACACTCTCTAGTAATAAAAAAAAGTTAAGTATAAGGAATATGCAACAATAGTTGGGTCAGTAATTGGACAGGAACTGAACAAAAGAAATCGTAGATGTCTAGAGAAGATGGAGAGGATAAAACTCCTTACGGGGAAAGAAAGAAAAATAGGAAGAAATAATTTTTATAAATATTTCACAAGCTTTTCTAAGGTTGTTTCTTATTTTTAAGAACTATAATTTGAATCATATATAAACTGATCTAGTTTTATTACAGTTGTTTTAAAATTAAGAATAGGGTCAGCTGCATCCTACTCTTTAAGAGAGCAAGATCCCACATGGACAACCACAGTTAGAGTCCTGGCCCCAGTGGACTGGGCGCATGAGTGTGCATGTCCCAAATCCTAACAGGATGGAAAAATGGTTGGGAAGGGCTTGTGACATGACCATGCCCCATTGAGGGTGCTTTCTCCCTCTTTTCTCTCTCTGTCTCTCTATCTTTCTCTGATGAGTGTATGTATCTTTTAGCAATTAAAACAAGAATAAAATGTTCTGAGCCAGTCCGTGGGGTATTGGTTAAGGCAGCTGGATCCCATATTGCCAAATGTGTAATTTGAGTCCTGGACCTGGCAGCTTGAGAAACATGCTGGATGTGTGTACATGGATACCCAAAATGCCAAGAAGGGAATGCAGGAAAAGGGATTGTGGTGTGGCCAACCCCTCTAAGGGGTGATTTCTCACTTTTCCTAATTCTCTCTCTCTGTCTCTCGCTCTCTCTCTTTCTGTCCTTCTCTGGCAAGTGCACATAACCTCTGGCAAAACTTAAAACATAAAAAAAAGAATTAAAAATTCCATGTAATAAAATATTCTTCTTGTGGGAAGTCTTACTAGATTCTAAACTATTAAATGTCAACTTTTTGTAAATAGCTTATATAGAGACAGAGACACTTAAAAAATATTACTCAAGTTGAAAGACAATTGACTTACAATTATCTGACATTTTTGAAGAAAAATATTCCAGAAGACTTAAAATACTTGCTTCCTTTAATTCTGGCAGTTTCTCTGACGTGTCCACGGGCAAGATACTTTTTTGTGAACTTTGACATTTACAAAAACCAAGCAAAGCAGTTTTTCGCAAATCAGAAGTGGCTGCATATAGGCATATTTCTGCAAGGATTGCTGTGTATATATATACTATATTCCAGGCCCAGGAAAAATCATCTACCTTGCAGTTTTCTTCCTGAAATTATAAAAGAGATCACAGATAATCAAAGCATGTTACATCTCGATTAAAAACTATATACTATAGTGTACTTATAATAAGGAATATCTTCAAATTTTATGGAATTGTTAAGATAAATATTTCTAAGATATTCTCATTGAAAAACAGATTTTGGGGGCTAGCTGCTAGTTTAGTGATTAAGGCACTGAACTCCCACACAGCTGACCACGGTTCAAGTCCCAGACCTGGCAGCTTGTAAGTCATGCTGGGTGTGTGCCTAGGTGTCCAAAATCCTGAGAGGACACTAGAGTACAAGGGATTGTAGCATGGGCGTTCCCCTTAGGGGGTGATTTCTCACTTTCCCTCTAACCCTCTCTCTCTCTTTCTCTCTCCAGCAAGCACATGTGCCCTATGGCAAAAAAATCTTTTAAAAAAGTAAAAAGAAAAACAGATTTTCTATTAGTATATTGCATAATTGTAATTCAAAGAATAAAAATATAAATAGATAATAAATATTACTAAAGAAACCAACTTTTCAATTTCCTTAGTAACCAATGAAATGTAAATTAAGACAATGAGGTGCTATTTTCCCTTTTACAGGAGAAAAGAATATCTTTGAAACAAAGCTCAATTCCAATGTATGGCACTTCCATATACTGGGTTGTTCAAAAAATCATGACTCATTTTTTCATAAAAGAACATAAAAAAAGAAAACATACCATGACTTTTCCAACAACTCAATTCTTTTTTGAGAGGTTTTTGCTATAGGGCACATGCACTCACCAAAAAGACAGAAAGAGACAGAGAGATAGAAAGCTAGAAATCACCCCCCAGAGGGATGGCCACGCTGCAATCCCTTCTCCTCCATTCTCCTCTCAGGATCTTGGGCACGCACGCACACGTATCCAGCATGAGTTTAAGCCACCGGGTCTGGGACTCGAACCGCAGTCAACTACATGGGAGTTCAATGACATAGCTATTATGCTAACTGCTGGTCCCAACTCAATTTTTATGCAAAAAAGTTTTATCTTCTGCACAGGAAGAGCCCAAGAACCTTAAAGAAAGTTCAGAGTCTTTCACTCAGTAATTTAGTTTTACTAATGTATTCTAAAGAACTAATCAGAAATGTAGATAAAGGTCTAATGTGTAAGAATACCAGTTTGACTTTTTTTTGTAAATAACAATGAATAATTAAAAACAAACTTACGTTCAGAGAATGGTTCAATTATCTCACTCCTGTATAAATATTAATTTTAATATGTATGAAAATTAAAGATGTTTATAATAAAAGGTACGAGTAATGAGAAATGTTTATTTGCTTTTATATTTAATTAAAATTATTATTAAAGAGCCAGCTCTATAACACGGTAATTAAGCCCCAGGCATAAGGACATAGATCCCACATTGGCAACTTTTATTCAAATTCCAGCCCTGGAGGCTTGAAAAACTCTGACAAGAGAGAGAAACTGAGGAAAAAGAACTGCGTCATGACCACACTCCACTGGGGAGCAGGTGCTTTCTCTCTCCCTCTCTCTGGCAAGTTCACATGCCCTCTGGCAATATACATAAGTAAATAAAATTATTACAAAGTTATGCACACTATATGCCCTATTATGGTATATAATTTAAATAGTGACACACATAAAGTTTTCCTTTAGGTCTCTTTTCACATCAAAATTAGCCATGCTGTTACCTGATTCTGAACAGACACAATGCTTGAAAGAAAATCTCTCAGTAGATCCATTAACACTTTCAAGCAGGCTATGTTTAATTTGGCAGCTTCGCCAAGGACCAATAGAGCCAGTGCTGAATCCAACCTGGAAATTTTATGAAAAGACAAGAAGGATTTTAGTGGAAAATAATCATCAACAATTTATTTTTAATTTTTATAATTTAACAGTGAACTTTACATTTTTCCATCCATCAAATGTTTCCTTCCCTTGCACCTCACACCCACACTCCACCACCCACTCTCGAACATTCAATTTTCCACCCGATAGTCTCTAGTGTTTACCCTCATTCTCTCCACCAACACATCTTCAAGTCTCTCAGTCTTTGTTGTAGTACTCAGTACAAATTGAGTGAGTGAGGATATACAATGTGTATCTTTCAAAGTCTGGCTCACTTTGCCCAACATTAAGTCTTCTATATTCATCCATTTTGAGTCAAATGATAGCATCTCATTGTTTGTTAGAGCTGAGTAATATTTCATAGTATATATATGGAACAGATTTTTCAACCCAGTCATCAGTTTTGAGACACTTAGGTTGGTTCAATGTTTTAGTGACTGTAAATAACACTGTAATGTAATACATGGGTTTGCAAGTGTTTTTCTGATTGTTGTTTTCCTATCCTTTAAAAGGAAGAGGAATTACTGGGTCATATGAAAGTTAATCATTGCACTTTTTGTGTCATTTTCAATTTCTTTTTTTATTGTCTCATAGTTTTCCTTGTGGAGGTCTTTAACTTCATTGGTTAGATTTATCCCTAAGTATCTTATACTTTTTGTGGCTATGGTAAATGGAACAACTTCTTTCAGCTCTATCTCAGTCTGCCTGTTGTTCATATATACAAATGTTATAGATTTCTGAATATTAATTTTGTATCCTGCAACATTACTGTATTCATGTATTACTTCCAGAAATTTTTTATGGAAACCATTGGATCTTCTATGTATACAATCATGTCATCTGCAAACAGAGAGAGTTTCACCTCTTTTTTTTCTATTTGAATGCCTTTCATTTCTTCCTCTCTTCTTATTGCAATGGCCAAGACTTCCAGTACGATATTGAAGAGGAGTGGAGAAAGTGGGCAACGTTGTCTTGTATCCATTTTTAGTGGAAAAACATTTAGCTTTTCTCCATTGAGGATGATGTTCGTTATGGGTTTTTCATAGACAGTTTTTATTGTGTTGATAAATGACCCTTCTATGCTGATTTTGCTGAGAGTCTTGATCATGAAGGGATGTTGTATCATATCAAATGCTTTTTCTGCATCAACTGATATGACCATATGGTTTTTATCTTTCTTCCTATTAATGTGGTGTATTACATTTATGGTTTTGCGTATGTTGAACCAACCTTGCATTCCTAGGATACAGCCTACCTGATCATGATGTATAATCTTTTTTATAAGTTTTTGGATATGGTTTGCTAGTATCTTGTTGAGAATCTTTGCGTCTATATTCATCAGGGATATTGGTCTATAGTTTTCCTTCCTTATCTTGTCCTTATCTGTTTTAAGGATAAGGGTGATAGAGGCTTCATAGAATGAATTAGGGAGAGACTCACCCTTTGGGATCTTTAGAAATAACTTGAGCAGAATGGGGGTTAGTTCTTCTTTGAAAGTTTTGTAGAATTCAGAGGTGAATCCATCAGGGCCAGGGCTTTTCTTTGTAGGAAGGTTATTTATAACTGATTCGATTTCCTGGCTTGTTAAAGACCTATTCAGACTTCATATATTCTCCTAGCTCAATCTAGGTAGATTATACATGACCAGGAATTTGTTCACTTCATCCTGATTAACTTGTTTCTTGGCATACAGATGTTCATAGTATCCTCTAATAATGTTTTGTATTTCTACTATGTCTGTTGTTATTTCGACTGCTTTATTGCAGATCTGATTTACCTGGTTCCTTTCTCTCTTCTTCTTAATAAGTCTCGCTAGTGGTGTATCGATTTTTTTTTTTTTGAGAGGTATTTTTTTGCCATAGGTTGTGTGCGCTCGCCAGACAGACAGAGAGAGACAGAGAGACAGAACATGAAAAATC